CAAGAAAACTGCATTATTGCGCACGCACGCGCGAAGCACCCCCAACCCCCAAACAGAACAGAAGACGGAAGGTGGTTCTTAAAGAGACAGAGGCCAATTTCAAGGCGTTTAGAAGAGGAAGCGATAAGTTCATTTTCCATTTAAATATAAAACAGCATTTAATAACAGCTAAAGGTGGCATAGATACTTTATTATGGTATAGTATTTAAATGTGTGTTTGAGAAACACATAACGTTGCCCCTTTAAGTCCTTTGTTCTTGTCTTCAATGCCCTCTAAAAAGAGTCCCTGTTGGAGCAGCCAACAGATCTCTCAAGAAAAGGTCATTGAGAGTTTAAGGCACCCTATTTTTTAGAGAGGTTTTTTAAACAGTACAATTTATAAAATTACTTTTGTTTTACCAAAGCCTGTAAATATTTTTAATACAACCTCTGTTTCTCTTTCAGATTGCATTGAGAAAAATTTTCAAGCAGGACAACATGGCTCGACTGATGATCTTGGCTGGTAGGTTCATGGTTCTAGRTTCTGATTACTTCACAGGCTTTTTATTGATTATTAATAATGTTTTTTTTTTTCAGGATTATCTGTTCTAATGTCTCTTCATGTTGGTATGTTTTTTTCTGCTCCCATTATTTAAATTTGTATCACATTTTCAGGTGGAGTGCAGGAATGAACCCAGGTTCTGGACGGATGTTGAGTTAAAAAATAAGAATTTATTTAAACAAAATCAAAGAGCTGACAGGGCAGTAAAAATAAACAAAACACTAAGAGATTCAGAGGACCACGAGGAAACTAAACAGTAGGACGATGCCATAAAATGAACCAGCGACTAATAGAGAGATGAGAACAGTAATTATACAAACAGGAAGAGAGAAGATGAACAACAGCTGAGGAGAACTATTTACTAAGAGAAGACAAGTGAGAATGATAAYTGAACAGGGAAACTGCTGGAAACAGACTGAGAGATGATAAGTAATGACACAAGGACGACACAAGAGGGAGACAACAGACAAGACACAGATCCCAACAGTGCCTCCCCCTCAAAGAATCGTCACCTGAYGATTAACACAAACACGGGAGGGCGGAGGGGGTTACAACAACACAGAATTGTGGGCAAGGGAAATAGACAACAGGGACACAAGACTCAAGAATGGACAAGGGGTATGCAAGAAAAAACTAAATCAAAAAGTCAAACTAAAAAAATGACAGGAAAGTCTTGGGAGAAAACAAAATTTAAAAACAGTCACCAAGATGGCCCTAGGAACATTTAAGGGCAAAAAGTTCAGGTGGACARATCCAGTTGGGCCTTGCCTCTCTTTTATGGCTTTACATGGAGCTTCAGACTGGTGCTGAGGAGTAACTGCCTGGAGGGTCTGAATGAGTAAGAACCTGAGGCGTTCCCTGCCCACTCTTTGACCTTCATACCGTCTGGACCTGTTGGTGGGTTGCCTGTCATCATCGAGGTAAAACCGAGTGGAAGACGCCTCGCTCTTCTGGTTAAACACATTCTTTAAGATATTTAGAAGTAACTAATTAACTTTCCTTTCCTCCTATTCCTYAACTTTTTTGCCTTTAAACTTTGAATAGTTTAAGTCCTTATAACTTTTGTGATAAGAGGTGTRAGTACTGAGACCTACCTTTCGGACCATAGTTTGCTTTTTTGGTCATTATCAGATGYCGAGTACACATTCACACTTCCCCAAATGAACTGGTCTTTCCAGAAAATGAAATAGATTTAGCGAACTATACAGGGCTGGAGTGGATACACCCTTAAAGGCACAGTAGCAAAACTGCTTTTAGCCACWCACCAGAAAAGAGGTGAAAGAGGGTCTGGTAAAGTTTAAATAAGGAGGAATTCAGACCAAAGCATTGTAGTTCCGTYTTATAAAGAATTAATTTAAATGTGAAAAGTAAGGATTTGAAAGCATGATATGTCTACTTTAAAAGCTTGATAATCTAAAGCAACAATATAAAGTAAATATTCTCAGAATGATGTCACCGAGGGGAAAAAGCTTGCCCGCTATTTACAATGCTGCTTCAGTTTTATGAAATTGTGCCACAGCAATTCATTATGAGAGGACACCACTGATTTCTATAACTGCTTAATCAGAAGTTAATTATTTTGCTGACAAGTTTAAAATATCCATTATGGTGGAATTTTTAATCAGAACAGGGCTCTTAGTTGAGCAGAACCGTCTCCTTTTTAATTTATTCTTGGCGCAAACATGTTTTACACTCAATAAGAGGTGTGACTTCTGTCAAATCATCCATCTGCCCATTTTCTCAATCTGTTTGTTCCTGTTAATGGTTGTAGGAGCAGGTATCCACCCCAGCAAAGCATAAGCCCTAGCAGTTTCATCTTGACGCAGTTTTATTGTACTTGCTGGATAAGTTGATCTGTACTTAAGCACTGTTTTGCAATCACCAACCAGAAAGAACTGGATATCCTCAAGGAAGAGGCAAGTAAAAAATGTCAAATCACCATCTGTTGAACAGCCTGATCAGTTGATCAACTAAAAAATATAATGTTAAGAAATATTACTCCCATGAAAATCTGGACAGATTTKAACAAAACTTTAATAAYGTTATCACAACATAAAATTGATGAACATTTTAAGTAAATTTTAAAGACCTTGCTCGATCTGCAGTCATAGCATGTGTATAAAATGATTTTCAGTTCTGATCACACCTAATTTAAGGTCAGTATCTATGAAACTATTTACAGTAATTGGTGTAGTCTGTTRGCAAAATATCTCAAGAATCACATGACCAATTTTAAGGAAACTCTCAGAAATAATCATTGAATATACATCTACAACTGCATCTTTACGTCATTCCTATGTTATAAAAAGTCATCGTCATTTGTCATATGTAATTTCATACCGTAAAGGGAAACTATTTTTAAGATTTGAACTGTAGAACTTCATCATTGTCAAGAAAAGATTTTCCTAATTTAATCCTGGCAAGTCCATAGGTGATAAGGATTGCTTCATACTGTATATTGCCAGGTTTGAACTATTCTTTGTTGCTTTTTTTGGTACAGTTGGTCATTTTTTTATGAAAGCAGATCAAAGTATATTTATCTTAGTCCAAAACACTGTTCTGCCATCACTGACTTAAAAGGACAATAAGGACATAGAGGAAGGTCAGTTAACGCATAACATTGATTAGTTGATAAAGTTACCAAGTTTTCTCTGAAAAAGCAAAATATTGCTGCTGCCACTTTGTATTTAAACCTAAAGACTAAAAGCAGGGATGYAAATTAAAAGCCACATAAGAAAATGTTTTTAGTTGAGCGCACTGGCAGCACCAATGGAAACCTACTTCTTTCTTTTTGTTTTATCATACTCTCTAATCTACAGAAGTAGGTTAGACTTTCACAACTCATTAAATTAACGAAAGGAAAGCTGAACTTCCTTGTCCTCAGATATACAGTTATCAGATAATAAAAGCATAAATGGTGAGCCAACATCACCTCATCATGTGGTGGTATGACATTGCCACAATTATTCTTCTTGGAAATCTCCATTAAAGTTGACTTAAGACCAGCCTTTGTTCTTGTCTTCATCCCCTATAAAAGTCCCTGTTGGAGCAGCCAAACAAACCTCAGACCTCTCAAGAAAAGGTACCGTAGTCATCGGGAGTTTAGGGCACTCTATATTTTAGAGAGCTATTTTTATGTAGGACAGTTTGTAAAATTACTTTTATTTTACCAAAGCCTTTATATACCGTATATTTAATCCAACCTCTGTTTCTCTGTCAGATTGCTTTGAGAAAAATTGTCAAGTAAGAACATGGCTCGACTGATAATCTTGGCTGGTAGGTTCATGGTTCTAGATGCTGATTACTTCACAGGCTTGTTTAGATTATTAATACTGTATTTTCTTTTTCTTTTTTCCAGGATTGTCTCTTCTGATGTGTCTTCATGTTGGTATGTTTTATTTTGTGTGTGTTCCCAGCATTTACATTTGATTTCAATCACTCCAAAGAATATAAAAAATTATAACTCTTTCTTTCTTTCTTTCTTTCTTTCTTTCTTTCTTTCTTTCTTTCTTTCTTTCTTTCTTTCTTTCTTTCTTTCTTTCTTTCTTTCTTTCTNCTTTCTTTCTTTCTTTCTTTCTTTCTTTCTTTCTTTCTTTCTTTCTTTCTTTCTTTCTTTCTTTCTTTCTTTCTTTCTTTCTTTCTTTCGCAAAGCTTCTTCAACCAAACTGGTGTGCTACTTTACCAACTGGTCCCAGTACAGAGTAGGCCTTGGTAAATATCTCCCAGACAATGTGGATCCTCACCTCTGCACTCACCTGATTTACGCCTTCTCACAAATTAGCCCTTCTAATGAGCTGAAAACACTGGAGTGGAACGATGAGGTTCTTTATCAATCCATCAATGGAYTGAAGAACAGGTGAGTTGCTTCTGGTTAGATTTAAGTTGTAAATTACAAATCTGAGTAACAATGTAAGAAGAGCTTTGAACATTTKTTAACTCAGATGTCTTGGAAAGCATTTAAATATGATGAAAGTGAATCCACATAAAACTGATTTGGAACCAAGATCACTTGAAATGTATTTGGCAGTCAAATGTTTTTTTTATTAATTAATTAATGATGCTATGACTTTTGTATCAACACAAAAATTAACTTTTCATCCAGCTCTAAACATAACTTCTATATGTTCATCACAGAAACCCTCAGCTGAAGACTGTGCTGTCTGTTGGTGGGTATAATGCTGGATCATCACAGTGAGTCTACAAAACTACAACAAACCAACATGAGTTTGTTGGATGTTGTTATTTATATTTCATTAAACCTAAGAACATCAAGGAACATGTTCTGCAACTACTGTTTTGTTTAAATGTCTACAGCTTTACCAGGATGGTTTCAACTCAGGCCAACCGTCAGGTGTTCATCCAGTCTTCCATCAGATTTTTGAGACAGCATGGCTTTGATGGGCTGGACCTGGACTGGGAGTACCCTGGACAATATTTGTTTGAGGACAAGTGGAAGTTCACATTGTTCTGCCAGGTCAGTTTAAAAACCCCATTCAATATCCCTGTGCAACAAACAACAGCAATATGCTTTTTCTCACCAAGTACTTGTCCCATGTATTTCATTCAGATTGTGTTAAACTAAACAAATACAGTGCTGACAGTTTTTGTCTTAMATTTAGGAATTACGTGCAGCTTTTGAAAGGGAGGCAGTTGAGACAGGCAGACCACGGCTGCTGCTCTCAGCTGCAGTGGCAGCTGGGCAGGCACTCATTGACAGGGGTTATGAGATTGTAGAAATATCCAGGTAAGTTGTTCAATAAAGTTGTTAAAGTCCTTACATATCTTTTTTCATATGAAAATACACAGTTTTACAAAGTTTGACAAAAACAGGTAAGCACCCTAACAGATTGGAGAAAAATTCAAACGTACAAATAAAATAGATATGAGCTGAAAACACTGGAGTGGAATATATATAGAGACTGACTTTTTTAAGTAGAGGACACAAACAGTTGTAAAGCTGTAAGCAGATAGGCAGCCGTTGTACGCTTCTTGTTAGGACAGATATGTGTAATAAAGACTGAAGTCTTGCTGTCAAGTTAGAAWACAGAAGCTTGTCTACAGTTCCTCTTAGTCTAGCTAACACACTCACAATACAAGTGCGGACTGTAACTTTGAGGAAAGTACTGATTTAATGTCATAGACATCATGTTTGTGCGTGGGGGGGTTGCTTTTCAAATAATATGACAATTAGAGTCCTCAGATTCGCCAACCCTTATTAACAGTTGTTAAAAGGATAGGTAATGTAAACAGGAATGAACATGCCCCTGTCCCAGTTTTTATTTTTATTTTTTGTGCTTCTTGCAGGCCACATCAAATTCAATGGTAAATGGTAAATGTTGAATATCAATTCAACATATCAATATTCAACATTGACATTCGTTGAATGTCATTGTTGAATATTTGCAAAAAGACAACAAAGTTTTTCTGTTTGCACATTAAATATCTTGGGTTTGTAGTGCATTCAATTAAATATAAAAAAGATTTGCAAATCGTATTCTGTTCTTATCTTTTACACAACATCTCAACTTCATCGGAATTGGGGTTGTAAGACTTAAACCATTTTAGAGTCGTTCCTGTAATCCCAAAATCATCATGTTCAATCATTCATCATTTAAAAGAGCCAAACATCAGATATTGTCCAAGATTAACCTTCAGGGTGGATATAGCTCACTAGCAGCCTCGCATGATGACCTAGTTGATGTCATCAGTTTCCCAGAATACTTTGCATGTAAATAAAATGGCCCCGTCTGTGTAATATATTTTTAAAATTTTAGTTTAAAAATTATAAAAACTAAACAGCCTACAGTATTTTTACAGTCTTTATTTTACAGTTAAAGTATATGTTTATAATATAAAGTCTAATGTTACAACTAATCGGGGATTCCTTTAATCACAGACACAATCTCCTTCACTTTTTCACAAAATACAGGCAGAGTGGTGGAGTACAGCAGCTCAGRGGGAAAGCGGGAAAGGGTTTCCGCTTAACAAAACACATGGTTCCCCCTACATGACACTCTGAYGCTATCACATACGCCGTACAWGATGTATCACCTTACATGATGATGTAATTCATGCAAAATCAAATGGCTTTATTGAACAGCTCTATGAAACAAATGGATTATCAAAATACAGATCCCTTTAAAAGCCGTTCATGCCATCTCTAGTATGGACACAAATTCACTGTCTGACTCCAAGACAATATTGCTAACTTTCAGCACTGCTGTTTTTGTGCCATGATGTTCTCCAAATTCTGACTGAAACTCATGAGATTATTTCTGTTGTTGATTTTGTTTTGTTGCATCATCTAACAGGGTTCTGGATTTCATAAATGTCATGAGCTACCGCTTACATGGACCCGGGGATGGATTCCTTGGCCACAACAGCCCTCTGTTCACCAGTTCTGCCCTTGGAGGCAAATTCGCTAACTACAATGTTGTAAGTAAAATCATTGGTAAATTTATACTTTACACCACTTGTTTTTGTTGCTTGTTTGTTTTGTTTTGTTTTTAACATTTATTATTTCTGGGTCCCAGGACTTTGCCCTTAGATACTGGAGAGCTAACGGAGCTCCTGCTGAAAAACTGTTGGTTGGTTTTCCCACTTTTGGGCGCACATATAAGACAGCAACAGCAGATCATAGAATTGGAGCACCATCGAGAGGAGCAGGCTCTCCTGGGCTCTACACCMGAGAGGAAGGAATTTTGTCTTACTATGAGGTCAGAATACTTAAAAGTAAACCATATCATCTCTTCTTCTACCAAGATTAACTAAGACACGAGTAAAAATTATAAAGTAAATTCTCTTGTAAATTCAGATTTGCACTTTCCTCAATGGAGCTACTACACATTGGAATATTGAACAGAGGGTGCCTTATGCAGTTAAAGGCATTGAGTGGTTGGGCTTCGACAACAGACAGAGCTATGAAATCAAGGTAATCTATATCATATTACTATTTATATCAAAGTTTTTACATATAATACTAATGAGAAAAGTTACTACAAGTAATTATCGCAAGCTTCCTCTAAATGTCTTTAGAAGAGAACAGACTGGGTGCAGCTGACAATGATGAAGATTGTGGAACACATGAAGTTTTTAATAATAGACTGAGCAGAAGATGGCACTCTTGTTGCAAAGTTTATCTTTCTAATGTGCAAACAATATGCAGACTTGGCAACTTTTATTTAGTACATGGAATCTAATTTTGGTAATCATTTTATTATAAACAGATTCTCATAGTGTTTCCATGCCTGTTTTTAATACTTGTGTTTAAATATGATTGATTTTATAAGAGTACACAGAGCTATCCTTGACCTGAAGGAAGGTTTTCAATTGTTATTTTGTCTTTTTGAACAAAAGTCTTCTAAACAATATTTTAACGTTCAGGCATTTAACAAAGCTCAAATTAACTATCCAAGAGAGGAGATTTGAAGTTAATCAGTGGTTCTAAATGAACTGTGGGACTGTGGAGTGCAGGGTTGTTAGTTGTGTTGGCTCTGACAGGATGTCTGTCCTGGTTAGAGCTGTCAAAAATTGATAACATTTCAGGTTTTAACCAAACTTATAAATTGAGTAGAACATGTAAAAAGGTGTCAAGATAATAAAAAGAAGGCACATTTTAAAACTTTAACAGATCATAAAATTTAATTAGCGAGAAAAAAAGCCCTTTTATTTGTACATTATTTTACAGTGAATAAAGTATAATGTTAATGTTTTGTAGGCACAGTATGTGAAACATAACCGTCTAGGAGGAGCAGTAGTCTGGTCTCTGGATCTGGATGATTTTAGTGGAAGCTTCTGTGGTCAAGGAAACTATCCCCTCATTAGTTATCTGCGCTCTCTTCTTAACTCAGGTAAAAAATATTCAACACTGTCATCAGTTCTACTTGTGTAAAATTCTGCTATAATCTTAATCAATTGTTTTGAATTTATTTACAAGATTTCCCAACACCTCCACCAGTCGGCTCAACAAACCCTCCCAGCCAAACCACCACCACCCCAGGCCCAGCTACCACCACAAAGGTTGTTACTGGAAATGGTTTCTGTGTTGGAAAGGTCGACGGTCTCTACCCAAACGTTGACGATCGGAACACCTTCTACCAGTGTGTCGCCGGGCTTACATATGTGCAGAGATGTCAGCCCACTCTTATTTACAATCATTATTGCCAGTGTTGTGTCTATAGCTAAAGAAAATGCCTTTTTTGTCAAACAGGATTGTGTTGTGCTGTTATGTATCTTGAATTATTAATTATGACTAATTAAAAAGATATACTTCTAGATTCTTTAAAGAGCCTGTATTTTGCCTTTCTCAGAAAATGCTGTCTATATGTATAAATCAAAAATAAAATTGATTTTGCATCATAGTGTTTCTAAATGCCTTGAAATTAGCTTTTGTTTCTTTGAGAAACTCAGTTTCCATTACTGACATTTCAGCACATCACCACAACAATACGTCATGTCGTTTACAATGTCATAGCCTATTTTGTTGTAATACTTTTTAAAGCAGCAACATTGTACAGTAGATCACAAATAGACCAAACAACAATGATGTGAACAAAACTATGTGAGTTGTTTTTCAGCTTACCTGGGCAGACGACAGTGACAGAAACTCATTGGTTTATTTATTTCTTATACAGTATTACAACATAAGAAATAAAAAAAAATTGTGGTAAAATGTGAACACACTCACAGAACAACCTCCCATTTTTGTCAGCTGCTGCTTGCTTTCAGTAAAGTAAATGTTCATTTTAGAAAATATCAGGACCATAAATTAACCTAGAAAAACGGGACCATCAGTCTAATATAAATACAGCTAATAAAAATATTCCTGTTCAAACTTTAACAACTGRTCATTTCACCAGGACATCATTTTACAACTTTACTTCAAAACACAACTTAGACTCCTGCCATGGAGAGAATAAGCAGCTGGATCTACCAGCAAAACAACTTACTAGTTTTCACAAAGCCTTAATTAAAGAAGACACCRCAAAGCAGTAGTATATAAACAAATTTTTGTGCTGTGTTTATCAAGCCTGGAACATGATTAAACATTTTAATATGACTCTGAGGGGAATATTAATATTTTATTTATATTATTAATTTGACATAATATAAATATTTTTAGATGTGCAAATTAAATACTTTATAGTTATTGCAGGGGTCTCCAAACTTTTTTTTTGCCTTAAGATCTACTTTCACAAAATGAAATTGTCCAAGAGCAACTTTTTGCAACATTTAATTTTAAACCTAAACTTAAACCAGTGGATTGTTTGTTTTGCACAAAAAACGTTGTCTTCAATTCAAGAAACCACCACAAACAACACTGAATTTACATGAATGTGCTTTTTGTGTTTATCCATTCRTTTTATATTGTATTTCACACTAATAACTTAGGGTTTAACTGCAACAGATTTGTGCACAAATAATGTCAGGTGACATTATTATAAAATCTCAGATTTCTTTCCGCATTGTAGTCTCCAGCAGGAAGAATAGAATAGAATAGAATAGAATAGAATAGAATAGAATAGAATAGAATAGAATAGAATAGAATA